TAAGAATGGAGGCTGCTAGACGGCTGCGCCCTTAACATAGTCACAACTCTAGAACTAATCGGCAAAGGAAACAAGTAACATAATCCACGTGAATAAATGTGTCTGCATTGTTATTTTGCTTAAACTAATTGCGCAGTTTCTGGTGAAAAGTCTGTCCCCATACCGCATAGGCATTTTAGGCGAAATAGGGGAAGAACACCACTGAAGTAGATTTCTCTCCCCTTCCCTTCCATAGAGATCCTGTGTTCTCTACATACCGACATTTTTTTGTCTGACCATGATGAATTCTCTTAGTTTCTAGATACAGGTCACTTGAGCAGCCAACTTACGACGTTAAACGCAACTATTCTTCTCGATTCCGTCAGCGAGGGAGTGATTGGACCACACAATTAACTTATATGTCAGAAAGCTGGACTTTTTATTTTTTGAAAAAACTAATGTAAGAGAATTAGGGTCTGCTGAATCTGAGTACCATCAGTTGATAGTATATGATTACAGATTACATGCAAAATTTTCATATGCAAATTTAGCTTTTGCGGGTTGCCATATTTTCGGGCTGCAAATGACCTAAGATGCTTTGACAGAACCTAAGAGAGAGAGCGAAAACGTTTCTAAATGTTGAATTAAGTTGATTGACATTAAATAATGGGCTTGTTATACGTCAATCTCAGTGCAATTGTAATGATGAGGGCCTCTGGGCCTAAAACATAAAATCTTTTTACTTATTTAAATGCTCTTTCTTTAGCTTTGACAACTTTCTAAATGTTCCTGAAAGCATTTAAACACTAAAACGTCCAAATATAATATAAATAATTTCCTTCTTCGCGATTTTCACCGGTGCTGGAACGTGAACACTTTGATATGTAAATCTTGACAGAGATATCAGGGGATCAAATGAGTTACCATTTACAATTTGGACATGTTTAACATTAGTTAGAAGTCCACGCGTGCCCTTGAAACAGCATATCAGAAGTACTACCAAAACGCGGTGTAAGGTTCGAGCAGAAGGTCGGCGGGTGATTCAACGGGGTGTCACTACTCTGAGGTAATATTTTGACTGGGAGACTGGGAGGTTAAGGTTGGGGCTCCAGTAACGGATTGATATACGCTACACAGTCAGATAGAAAAGGCTTAGTATTGAGAGATCATGAACTAAAATTCTGAAATACGGGAGTGTTCTGAAAAAGTGAAAGTGAGTCGTAAACTTCGTCGAGTAAGTATGTAAAACCCATACGATCAGAATCGACTGACATCCAATCTTGTTCCGACAACGTAACGAAAAGAAGTAACGAGGATAGACTGTTTATTGCTGAGATAATGAAACGGAACTGCGGAGATGTATAACTAACTGCGATACATAAATAAATAAATAAATTGTATATTTAAGGCCCAAGGGGCCCTTTCATTACAAACTTAGTGCTATCGTGGAAATAAGAAAATAAAAATAGTTCCGATTAACAACGAACTCTTATAAAAATAATTATCTGGGTATTACAGAGTGGAAAGAAAAACGAACGGTTATATGTGGTGGATGAGAATGGAAACAACGCATGCGAAAAATTGGAGCAAAGTATAAAAATGCATAGAGGTAATAATGGTCTATCTGGAAGTACAAAACGAGATTCAATATCAAAAATAACGAAAAGCTCGATTCTGCGGTACAAAAATAGCGGTAAGTGTTCAAATGTACAAAAAGGGATTGGCAATGACTTATCGAAGGTTAAACGACGGAACACGCAGTCGTGTACAATGATCCTAAAAAAGTCAATTTGAGCGGGGTTAGCCGATTTAAACACCCATGGTTCCGTCTGTGCGATTACAATGAGAGTAGCGACTGTGAAAATTTAAAAAAAGGCGCAGAGCATCTTCAGTTTAGTTCGTTTTATTCAAGAAAGTGGGCATGAGCCTTTCAATACCCTGTTTGCAACGTACAGTGCAGTGTATGTACATGTAGGTTGCCAGAGCTCAAACGGAGCTATCAAATATGACATTTTGGGCGGGAGTTTCAAGGGTGAAGTTAATCCCTCGTGGCTCCGGCTCATTCTCGTACATATATCTAGCGATGATGACATCACAACATCTGTAGGGAGGGCATTCCAGCGCCCGACCATGATGACAGGAAGAACTTGCGCACGCCGGACTTTGCCTGCTGAATGCGTAGATTGAATAGGTGACCGCGTAAATTGGTCGTGGTCAAAATATTCTCAAACGCCAGGCACC